AAGCTACAAACAGTAGGAGAGGAAGGAAAGGCCTGGGCACTCATCTCTAGCTATGTGACTCTGGAATTTTTGGTCTTTGGTCTGAGAAATTTCTGTCTGAACCCAAGTTAGGTTAAGTTAAGACCTTGACAGTCATAATCAACAGATCTGGACCACTGTTTTCCACTCAGCTTGTTACAGCTTCTTCGAATGACAATAGGAAGCTACTGAAGGATTTTTAAAAAGAGGAGTTACACCACAGTCCTGGAGTTTCTGGCGATAGCCCACACTGAAGTATAGGCAAACGAATGGTGATGTGGTGAGAACAGCCGGGCATGTTTGAGGTTGTGATGCAGTGTGGTTGCTCCTTTTCCAGAAGTCGGGGCAAGAGTCGCTAATATGAGCATCACTGCTCCCTGCTGGCAGCTGAAACAAGCAAAAAAAACCACCACATGTCCAGATGTCAGCAGGTTTAAAGGAAGCCCTCTGCAGACAAGCAAGAAAAGAAAAAGGGAACCCCACAAACAGACAATGCCATGAATTGTCTGGAAGGCCTCTTGCTAAAATGACACCTACCAGAGACCCAAAGAAAGCATGGACAAATGGCTGTTTAGACAGCTAAGAGAAATTGTCCCAATGAAAGGAAAGCCTCTGCCATGAGGCAGGAGCTGGCTTAGGATGTGGATGAGGATGCAGAAGGCTGGGGTAGCAGAGCATGCATGGGAGACAGAGAGCTCTAGGAGACAGTGCTGGCCCAGGCTACTGTGGAGAGGCTCAGAGGTCACACTGTAGGAAGGGGACTAGATATGAGACCATCACGCTAATCCTAGTAAGAGATGGTATTGCCTTGATAACGGTGCTGTGGAGCCCCGCTCGGCTTCTGCATAAATCCTGAAGGCAGAAATAGCCAGCAGATTAAATACAGAGAAAAAAAGAAAAGATGAAAGCAAGCTGCTAAATGTGAACAATTTAAAGGGAAGAGCTGTTATGTTTGGAGATAAAGATGTAAACAGACAACTTTTATGTATGTGTGTATGTATGTGTGTGTGTGTGTGTGTGTGTGTGTGTGTGTGTGTGTGTATGTGTGCATGTATTTTTTACAAGACAACAGTATTTGTCACCTTTGTAAAGCCAGTTCAGGGATGGTGGGGCAAAGTGGCTATGGGGTGCCTAAGGAGGGACCATCGAGGAAGCAACTGTAGTGGCCACAGAGGACTCAGTAAGTCATGGATGAAGCAAGAAGCTCCAGTGACAAAGAGAAGACAGGATCAACTGCTCTCAGTAGCTACCCCACACGAGGACAAGGAAAGAGACAAAGTTCCTACCCACACAACAGAGTGGTTTGTGGGGCATTTGGAGACAATGGAGGAGAAAGTGGTTTGAGAATGAAGTTTGGTTTAGGTACCTTCAAAGTGAGAGAGCCAAAGGAAGACCCCGAGAAAGCAACTGGAACTTGGTAGAGAGTTGAGGCAAAACTTTGAAGGAACAAATTGAGAAACTACAATCACAAGGATTCCTGGGGGCGGGGGGGAATTAGCTATCAATGAGACACAGTAGATGTACATGGAGTGCACAGAGAAAAGATTTACTCCCTTCCACATTTAAGTGATCTGTTACTGGAATTCTCAATTCCTGAGAGACACATCGTCCACCCTAGAAGATTCTTTCACTGATTAAGCCCTGAACATTTGATGAGTCCATGTGAAAGACTGGGGAAAAAGATTAGTAAAACCATGGCCATGGCCTTCAGGGGCTCACCATGTTGTGGAAGATACAGACACACAGTAGAAGAGAATGAGAGCTGTAGGGACATGGAAAAGGACATCTAATGTGATCAGGTATGGGGAGGGACTGTAAGAGGTTCAGGAACAATATCTGGGTAGAGGTGACAGTTTAGCTGGGTATTAAAGGGACATGTAGAAGAAAATGAAACACAAGAGGGTCAAGACTGAAAGCAGAGAGGTGAAGAACAGCTTCCTATGTGCAGGGCTGTGGTCTTAGCTCACGGCTTTCTGCTGTGTTCCTGCCAGCAGACACAAAGAACTGCCCAAGGAGCTGAAGGCATGTGGAAAGTTCTGTTCCTAAACCCCCACTTTGTTATCTAGTGAGAAGCCAGTGGAAGGTGATAAGGACACTCACTGATGGCATGCTGGATCAGTGATTAGAAAAATCTCTCTGGATAGACATGATGTACAACTTTGGGGGTGGGAGACCAGGACAGTTAGATGGCCATGGCAGGGGTCAAGCTGGGAGTTAGTTTGATGGTTTGTCGTGTTGGAAGGTTACAATGGTGGTATGAATAGGTATAGCCCCCATGGACAGTGTGTTTGAATGTTTGGCCTATAGGGAGTGGCACTATTAGGAGATGTGGCCTTGTTGGAGTAGGTGTGGCCTTGTTGAGGGAAATGTGTCACTTTGGAGGTGGGCTTTGAGGTCTGATAAGCTCAACTGTTGTAGACTATTATTTTAAGATGTGTTACATTTGTTTATGCTGTGGAACATTTGTTTAATGATGCAAAGATGTGTTGCATTCTTTTATGTTGTATGTTTTTAACTCTGTGAAGCTGTGTTACTGTGACTGTCTAAAACACCTGATGGTCTAATAAAGAGCTGAATGGCCAACAGCAAGGCAGGAGAAAGGATAGGCGGGGCTGGCAGGCAGAGAGAATAGATAGAAGGAGAAATCTGGGAGGAAGAGATCAATGAAGACTCAGGGAAGGAGGAGGACATCAGGGGCCAGCTACATAGCCAGCCACAGAGTACAAGTGAAAGTAAGATATACAGAAGTAAAAAAAGGAAAAGGCCCAAAGTCAAAATGTAGACAGGATAATTTAAAGTTACAAAAAACTGGCAAGAAATAAGCCAAGCTAAGGCTGGGTATTTACAATTAAGAATAAACCTTTATAACTAAGAATAAACCTATTTGGGAGCTGGGTGGAAGGTGCCCCCAAAGAGCAAAAATAACCAACAACACTCAAGTCTGGCTGATGTGACACACTGTCTCCTTCTGCTGCCTGTGGATCAAGCTGGATAGAACTCTCAGCTCCTTCTCAAGCATCATGTCTGTATGTGTGCTGCCACATTTCCCATCATGTCAATAATGGACTAACTTCTGACACTGTAAACCAGCCCCAATGAAATGTTTTCCTTTATAAGAGTTGCTGTGGTCAAGGTGTTTCTTCACAGCAATAGAAACCCTAACTAAGATGGTTACTAAGGATACTGAAGGAGAGGGTATTGTGGTTGGGGGGGAGAGGGTATTGTGGTTGGGGGGTTGGCTTAAGATGATTTTGGAAGATGGAAGTAGTTGGTAACTTTGACAACTACATCCCAAGGCCTGCTGTACATATACACATGAAATGATTGTCCCCAGAGATGAAAACCTAGGATGACAGGAACACATCTTTCATTTCCGCACCCCAAATTCTGTATTCTTAATAAAGCAGACAAGCTGCTTCTTTACTGTACACTGTTGCTTCTAATCTTTCCCATACCTTAATTCTCAAGATTTCAAGTTCATTTTGGTGAACAAACATGGCTGGGATACCAGTACCTACGGTGTAGAGACATCCACTGTATATCGAAAGCATAGACACTGTCGATTTCAGGCCTGTCTGCTTGGTGGTGGAATGGCCATTAGCCTCTTGATGTTATGAAATGCTATTTCCATGTACGTTTATATGTTCTAGATTTTGAAGTTATAAAATTAGGCATACACATTTAAAGTATCTTTTTAGGGAAGGCTATATCTAACTTCTCAATAAAGGTATCTGTCAACATATAGTTTTAAAATGCTTCCCCTCTTATATTTTATCTAATAGTATAAGTGTAGCTTCACTAGTAATATATTACCATTTTAATAGCATTTCCTAAATAAGAGTATCTGTTTATGTCTTAAAATTTTTTTTTTGGCCAGGTGGTGGTGGCACATGCTTTTAATCCCAACACTCAGGAGGCAGAGCCAGGTAGATCTCTGTGAGTTCGAAGCCAGCCTGGTCTACAGAGCAAGATCCAGGACAGGCACCAAAACTACACAGAGAAACCCTGTCTTGAAAAAAAAATTTTTTTTTGATACAAGGTCTTTATTTTATGATTCAGGCTGGCCTTGAACTCACAACCCAGGAGGGCTCAACCTTCCAAAAAAAATATCTTTTCCAGCTTTCTTGATATATAATTGACCAATCTACATTTTATAGTTAAGGTATTTAACAAAAAATTAGTAATTAAAAATGAGAAGTGAGGGGTAGAGATAAATTGTGGGGGGAATGCTCCCATTTCCAGGCTGTACACCATGCTATTCAGAACAATTCCAAAGGGATAGGGGCAGAGCTGCAGGGAGAGACCTGTGTGTCTGGGCAGAGTGACTGCCAGGCATACACATCAGTTTCATCTCAAAGGATAGTCTGGACTGCGGCAGGAGGCCTTAGATAGCTTTGTCTTTTCAGCTTATGGGAACATTTTTTCTGTGTTTGGTCCTTCCTGTACGTCACTGAATGAGGTAAAACTGCTCCAGGATAAACGTTCAGTTACCAACACTGACTCCTGTTATTGAAAAGTACAGCAATGCCTTCCACACCCCAATGTTGGCGCTCAGAACTCGGTTATTATGGCTTAGAGATTCAGGAAGCTAGTTACCTCCCATGTTCACAAGTGCAGCTCTTTGAATATTGGGTACCCAGCCTGCCCACAGCCCGCGTATTCCTCCTTCAGCTAAGATTTTTGCAAACGCATGATGGACTCCACGAAATCTAAGGAGAATAACAAAGAAATGTTAGTCTATGCACTCACGTGTGTGGAAGGCAGATGTGTAATTTTCACCTTCTGCTTATTCCTTTGGAACACAGGCAAAGGAATGATGTGTGGTGAGCAATGCCTTAGGGAACTGGGAGAGAGGCTCCAGGAAAAAGGCAGAGGCTTTGCCTTCAACCTCAAGTGCATTCTGTCCCTGGATTGTTCTTGGACGTGATTCTGTGCCTCCTGTGTTAAACGTTTACGTTCAGTTTATGAGACATGTTTACTCTGGTTGGATGTCAGAACACAGCTATAGAACCCAATCTGGTGAAAGGGTATGCTGAGTGCCGTCCTCAGGGCACCCTGATTCTGGATCTGGCCTTCTGCCTTGATTTCATGCTTTCCCAGTCATAATCTATAGTATGTGCCTGGCAATTGTGTTTCAATTGTCTGTCCTGAGAAAGTTCTGGGAAAGGGCTGCTCTGTCAACATTTAGTATGTGCTTCCTGACATTTACTTCCATGTTTTCCTGAACTCAAACAACCTTCCTTGGACCTTTGTTTTCTCTGTGACACTCATGTATAAAAGTACACTAATCTGAAGTAAGGTTGTCTGTAGCATTTGACTGTACTCTGCTCCGTTTTATAAGGTCTCCAAATCCCAGATCTCGCAGACAGATCCAGATCTGCATAGGTTGGTGAAAGTCAATAGATACAGTTAGGAATGAAATAATATTTATTCAGAGTAATTAGAAATTAAAGGATTATGAAACTCTGATTTCTAGATAAACTGAGTAACTTATTGTTGAAAGGCCAACCTTTAATTCAAACATTTCCCTTTTTAAAAATGATTTATCATTTATTTTATGTGTCTGCGTGCCTGTAAGTGCCACATGCTTGGATCCTACAAAGGCCGGAAGTGAGCACTGGATTCTCCCAGAACTGGAGCTACAGGTGGTTTTGAGCCACCGTATAGGTGCTGGGAACCGAACCCGGGCCTGCTCCAGGAGCAGCCAGTGTTCTTAACTGCTGAACCATAGCCCAACATTTCCCTTTTGTCTCCATTCTTTTCCTTTTCCTTTCTAGTTTTCAGTCTCGTTATTTCACACAGGCTGGCCTCAAACTCCTAAATCTCCTGCCTCAACCTCCTGTGTACTTGGACTACAGGCATGCACCACTATGCCCAACACGATTTAAACATTTTTAGTGAGCAACATTAGAAACTCTGTCATCATTTTCTCTTCTTAGTCTAGTAAAATGATCAAAATACCACTGCTTGGAATTTTTATATTGCCAATTCCTACATTAATTACAGGAAAAAGCAATAGTCGTTAGCCTTCCCTTTACTGGTGATACAGAGGCTATGTGTGTGCGTGTGTGTGTGTGTGTGTGTGTGTGTGTGTGTGTGTGTGTGTGTGTTCATAATATATCAATCTATACATACACATATTCAAATAATGCTAAAAAGCCACTGACTCGGGTCCGGGGGTACAGCTCAGTGGTAGATCACTTCCCAGTCTGCCCAAGACCGCGGGCTTGACCCTTAGCATCATAAAACAAAACAAACAAAGAAACCCAAACTCTGCAAAGTTTGACTCTCTCACACTCTGTTATCATCTTGGGTTAGAAAAGATGGCTCAGGGCTTAAGAGCACTGGCTGCTCTTCCAGAGGACCTGGGTTCAATTCCTAGCATCCACTTGGCAGTTCACACAATCGTCTGTAATTCCAGAGACAGGAGATCCAGTACCCTCTTCTGGCTTCCTCCATATGTGGTACACAGACATACATGCAGGCAAAACACCCATACACATGACATAGTACTAATAAAAAAAATTTAAAAAACTTCTATCTCATAAGCAAGATGGGTTTTTTTTTTTAGGTCAAAAACTAGAAAAGATGATCTAAAAATTCTTAAAATTAAATAATGTCATCTTTGTGGAAATTCTATCCCATCCCTGTTTTTCTCTCACTTTTGTCCCAGGTGAAAACCGCTGCTGAACTTGAGACAGTCTGCCCGCCGTCTGTACAGAAGAAACACCCAGGCTTGTGCAGTCCAAAAGGCTCTGGAGC